AAACAGGAGTTGACGAGGTGAGGTTGGCTGTGGCTTGTTCTGTCTCTCTGATCTTTCAGAATTTACCCCAATGTTTGGCTCCGGCTTTTTTTTTTTTAATTGATAAGACGTTTTAAAATTTGTGTTACACCTGGCCCTTTTTTAAAAGATGTGGCTCCAGACAATGTGAATGAGAAGGGTTTGTACACAGTACTTCCTAGCCTTTGGAGGGCTGGCTGCAGGCACCTCCATTCCTTCTTCTGGGCTCCTGCTGAGACTCTTCTACAGCTTGATTTCAGGACAGCTTAGAAATGTCTCCAGATCAGCCAGTGAGAAGAAGGGTCGGTGCAGTAAAGGCTAATGACCAGCCTCCATCTCTAGAACCCATGTGATGGAAGGCGAGAACCAACTCTCCCGGATTCCCCTCTGACATACACACGTGCACAGCCCCCTCCCCCAGTATTTTTTAAAAGATTTCTTTTTATTTATTTTATTTTTGGTTTTTTGAGACAGGGTTTCTCTGTGAAACAGTCCTGGCTGTCCTGGAACTCTGTCTGTAGACCAGACTGGCCTCGAACTCTGAGAGATCTGCCTGCCTCTGCCTCCTAAGTACTGGGATTAAGGGCGTGCACCTCCACCGCCTGGATATTTTTATTATTTTTAATTTTTTATATATATATATATATATATATATATATATATATATATATATATGTCTGTGTGGGTATGTATACGTGAGTATAGGTACCCACATAGTTCAGAAGAGATTGTCAGCTCCCCTGGAGCTGGAGTTACAGTTGTGAGCTACCCAGCATGGATGCTGGGAATTGAACTAGGTCCTCTGTAAGAGCAGTCCCTGCTCTCAGCCGCTGAGCCATCTCTCCAACCCTCCAAATTAAAAAATAATATATATATATATATATATATATATATATATATATATATATATATATATAGAGAGAGAGAGAGAGAGAGAGAGAGAGAGAGAGAAAGAGATTCCCCCAATCCCCACACTGAGACCTAAGTATTTCTGAAAGCTGTCTCCTATAGTCATACTTTTATTCGTTTACTCAGAACCACACTGGTAAGCATTTTGGACTATCATTTTTTGGCTTTTAGAACATACAAAGTTCCTGCTTTGGGCCTAGGAATGTATAGGTTTATACAGTGTGAGGTCCTGGTTCATTCTCCAACTGACACACCTGGATAGGCAGGGCCAAAGTAACTGAAGTTGATTTTACTAGGTTTTTTTTTTTTTTTCATGTTATGTGCATTGGTGTTTTGCCTGCATGTATGTCTGTGTGAGGTATTGGAACTCATGGAACTGAAATTAGACAGTTGTGAGCTGCCATGTGGGTGCTGGGAATTGATCCTCTGGAAGAGCAGCTAGTGCTCCTAATCACTGAGCTGTCTGTCCATCCCTACTAGTTTTTTTTTTTTTTTTTTTTGGTTTTTTGTTTGTTTGTTTTTTCAAGACAGGGTTTCTCTGTGTAGTTTTGGTGCCTGTCCTGGATCTCGCTTTGTAGACCAGGCTGGACTCGAACTGACAGAGATCTGCCTGGCTCTGCCTCCTGAGTGCTGGGATTAAAGGCGCATGCCACCACCACCCGGCCCCTACTAGTTTTTTGATAGGTGAAATTGATGTCCTTTTTTTTTTGTAAATTACATTTCTTCCGTTTTGTGTTTGCTTATTGACTTTGTGTCTTCTTGGGGCCATGGTCTTTGCTCATTTTTCTGTTAGGTTATTTCCTTTTTAGGGGGGTGGGTTTCTCTGTGTCCTAGAACTTGCTCTGTAGACCAGGCTGGCCTTGGAACTCAACAGAGATTTGCCACTGCCTGCTGAGTGCTGGGATTAAAGGCATGCACCACCACTGTCCGGGTCTAAGGTTGCTATTTTCCTACTGGTTTTTAGAGTTCTCTATAAATGAAGGAAATTATCCCTGATAGAGATTGCAAGTGTTTTTTTTTTTTTCCCCCAGAGGTTGTCTCTTTATTTTGCTCTGTATTTTTGACTTCTGACTTATTGTTTGGTAAAGTTATTGATAGTTTTTCTTTCTTCTTTTTTTAATGGCTTCTTTGGTTTCAGTCTTTCTATGTGAGGGTTGGGGATGGGAAGCCAGCTCTCCTAACACCATTTATGGAATATTTCATCATCGTCCCATTTCTTAGGCTGCTCAGACCCTATTTATTTCTACAGCCTACATCGTTAGCACTGACCTATCTTCAAAGAGCATCTTGTCTACAAAGTCTGTCTGTCTCCTCCCTGCTCCTCTCCTCCTTCCTCCTTCCCGTACTGGGGATTAAGTTGAAGCCCTCCTGCATGCTAGGCAAATGCTCTACCATTGACCTGTATCCCAACTCCCTTTCTTTCCCTTTGGCTGTTTAATTTCTGACATTGGGTCTTGCTCAGTTGCCTAGGCTGACCTTGAAGGTGTCTCTGTATCCTGTTGCAGGCAGGCCTTGAACTTGTGTTCCTCCAGCTTTGCATCCCAAGTAGCTGGGATTACAAGCGAGCATCGCTAGGCTTGGCCAAATTTCCTTTATGTATTAGGTTTCCCTCCTCCCAGTTTTCCATAGCACAGGTGAGATGATTTTTTTTCTAAACTAGGTCAAATCCACCTTTGTGGGCTTCACATTGTTCTTTGGGTAAAGACCTGATCCTCGGTGTGACCTCAAAGACCACTGTGGCCTGACTCCTCCTGTCCCTCCGGACCCTGTTCACAGTTTGGTTTGAAGTCATTCTTCCTCCCTGCACGTGGATTTTGAACTAAGACACCCTAGGCAGCAAATGAGTCACCTCAGTACTCACTTGATTTCCCATTGCTCTGGGATGTCTTAAAAATTGCCTGATATGCCTTAGCTGCAAACCCACTATTGTATTCATTTTAAGGAGATTTATTTTAAGAGTGTACACATGCTAGCGTTTGTGTGCATGCACGTGCAGGCCCTCAGTGCGTGCACTTGTTCTGTGTGTGAATATGTGCACTTGAGTGCAGGTGTCCATGGAAACCAGAGCCATCGGAACCTTCAGGAACTGGAGTGACAAGCTGTTTGAGCTGCCCGGTGTGGGTGCTTGGAATCATACCCCTGCAAGTGCAGCTGATGCTCTTGACTGCAGAGGCATCTCCACAGCCCCTGTTTTATGCGTTTTATCAATTTTAAAAACTGTTTTGACAGAAGGATAAATCTGGTTGCTAGTACTTCATCCCAGAATCTCATTTCTCTTGTTTTTCAGAATGAAACAATGAGTCTCTAGCTCTTGTCATTAATAAAAAAATTTTTAGGTTTCTTTATGTGTATGAATGTTTTGCCTGTATGTATGTATACATGTGTATCACATACATGCCTGGTCAGAAGAGAGCATTAGCTCCCCAGGATATGGGGTGGCAGATGGTTGTAGGCCACTGTGTGGGTGCTGAGAATCAAACCTTGATCCTTTGCAAGAGCCACAAGTGTCTTAAATACTGAGCCATCTCTCCTATCCCTGTTGTCATTAATTTAATTCCTTAAACATTGATATTATTATTATTATTATTATTATTATTATTATTATTATTATTATTTGGTTTTTCGAGACAGGGTTTCTCTGTGTAGCTTTGGAGCCTGTCCTGAAACTCACTCTGTAGCCCAGGCTGGCCTCAAACTCACAGAGATTCGCCTGCCTCTGCCTCCCGAGTGCTAGGATTAAAGGCATGCGCCACCACCACCCGGCTTAAATTTTTATATATGTATATGTGTGTATCTGCATGAGTTTGCATGTACCACATGCTTGCAGTAGCCTATAGAGGCCAGAAGAGGGTATTAGATCCCCTGGAACTGGAATTTCAGACAGTTCTGAGCTACCCAGTGTGGGTGTTTGGAATTGAACTCAGGTCCTCTAGAAGAGTCACAAGTGCTCCTAACTTCTGAACCATTTCTCTGTATCCCAACCCTCTTTCTAACTATGTAGCCTAGGTTAGCTTCAGACTTGTGTAGTTGAGGCTGGTTTTAAATTTTCTGCAGCCTCCTAAATTCTGGGATTATAGGCATATGCCACCGTACTTAGACAGTCTACTTTCTTGATAGCATAAAAGTTGCTTTAAAGCCGGGCAGTGGTGGCGCACGCCTTTAATCCCAGCACTCGGGAGGCAGAGCCAGGCGGATCTCTGTGAGTTCGAGGCCAGCCTGGGCTACCAAGTGAGTCCCAGGAAAGGCGCAAAGCTACACAGAGAAACCCTGTCTCGAAAAACCAAAAAAAAAAAAAGTTGCTTTAAGTTTTAAAATTTTATTTCAGTAGCAAATAAAGTTTAGGAATTTAAGTAATTGAGTAAAATAGGCCATAGCATCAGAGGCAGGGCCAGTTAGAGCACCCAAAGATACTTACTTTATAGAAAGTTGTGCCAGGCGGTGGTGGCGCATGCCTTTAATCCCAGCACTCGGGAGGCAGAGCCAGGCGGATCTCTGTGAGTTCGAGGCCAGCCTGGGCTACAGAGTGAGTTCCAGGAAAGGCACAAAGCTACACAGAGAAACCCTGTCTCAAAAAAAAAAAAAAAAGTCGGTTCTCTCCTTGGCCTGACCTGAAAGTACCTTCCCCCAGCTGAGGTGTCCCGCCAGCCTTTGACATGTACTTTGGGCTGGAGAGATGTCTCAGCGGTTAAGAGCACTGACTGTTCTTCCAGAGGTCCTGAGTTCAATCCCAGCAACCACATCCACAACCACAACCATCTGCAATGAGATCTGGCGCCCTCTTCTGGCCTGCAGACATACATGCAGGCAGAACATTGTATGTGTAATAAATAAATCTTAAAAAAAAAGAAGGTTGTGCTGGTTGCAAAAGGAGCCAGTAGCTTGTATAGGTTCATAATTCATATGATGAAATTGTGACTACTATACAGTAGGAGTAGTTTCATAAGGCATATGCCATTAGTAACTATGGACTCCATATAGCGTAAGTAAGCACTGTGAATCCATGCAGTATATGAACTTTTCGTAGCTAATGGGATGCTCGGCGGTCCTCTTAACTGTGTTTTCTTTCTTCCTAGATTTCACTAGTTGAGTAAGATCAAGCGGGTAGCCATGGCTGAAGGTGGATTTGACCCCTGTGAGTGTGTCTGCTCTCATGAACATGCGATGAGAAGACTGATCAACCTGGTGAGATGGACAGAGCTGTCCTAGCACTGGTCTGTGTTCTTCCGGGTGGCGAGATGAGTATTGGTCTCAGTTACGTTTCTCTTGCAGCCATAGATCGCGACCCAAGGCACCTGGGGGAGGAAAGGGTTTATTTCAACTTTCCCTCAAGTAGGGAAGTCAGAGAAGGAACTCAAGGCAGGAAGCTGGAGGCAGTGACTGAAGGAGAGGCCGCCGAGGAACACTGCTTAATCGCTGGTGCCCCATGACTTGCTTAACAACCCAGAATCATCAGCCTAGGGGTGGCACCGCCCACAGTGGCCTGAGCTCTCCTACATCAATCATTAATCAAGAAAATGCCCCACAGGCCTGCCCACAGGCTAATATGATAGAGACATATTCTCAGTTGAGGTTCCCTCTTCCCAGAGGACCCTCATTTTTGTGTAGTAGACAAAAAGCTAACCAGCACAGAGGTTAATAGAGGATTTTCTCAAGATAGTCCCTAAAAAATATTTGATAATGGAAACTCCATGGTGAATTACGATATAATGATAAAACACTTGCTAGCACTTGTTTTATTAGAGATAAAAGCCAATTATTTTCTTTACTTCTGTAGGTTTATTTTGAGGATATTTGCCATCCTGGTTAGTTAAACACAATCATGTTGAGCCTGTTGTATTCATGTTGGAACAGATAGTTGCTTTTATAGTTATGTGGAGTTTGCCTACCAAGCTACTGTGAAACCATGGATCCTTTCTGGTATACACAGTTCAGTCCTTTTCCAACATAGATCATGACAGTAGGAGTCTGTAGAAGAGGGATAATGTGGTGAACACCATCATTAGAACATGAGAGTAATCTCAGTAGAAAACTAAATATGCTTTGTTGTTTTTCTTTTTTTTTTTTTTTTTTTTTTTTTTTTGGTTTTTCGAGACAGGGTTTCTCTGTGTAGCTTTGCGCCTTTCCTGGAACTCGCTTTGGAGACCAGGCTGGCCTCGAACTCACAGAGATCCGCCTGGCTCTGCCTCCCGAGTGCTGGGATTAAAGGCGTGCGCCACCACCGCCCGGCGAAAACTAAATATGCTAATGAGAAGTAGGAAAGAATAAAATATCAATACAGTAAACCATCCTGTTTACAAGGTAAATGAGCAAAACATATTCAGAACTACCAGAAGAAAATCAGCAAAATGACAGGGTCAGATACATTGCTTTCACCAGAAACCCTGACTATAAGTAGTCATAATTCTGTAGATAAAGCACAGAAATGGACTGGAGAGATGGCTCAGTGATTGAGTGTTTATTCTTCCAGAGGACCCAGGTTCATTTCCCAGATAATGAGGCAGTCATAACCACATGTAATTCTAGCTGTCGAGGTTCCAATACTCTTTTCTGGACTCTATACGCACCTGCACTCACATGCACATACCTATACACAGACACACAGACATGCATTTTAAAAATAAACCCACCATAGAATGTCTGATTGAAAGACAAGACTCAACAGAATGCTGCCTATAAGAAACTCAGCTAATAAGCCAGGCATGGTGGCACACGCCTTTAATCCCAGCACTCAGGAGGCAGAAACAGGCGGATCTCTGTGAGTTCAAGCGAACCTGGTCTACAAAGCAAGTTCCAGGACAGCTAGGACTGTTACACAGAGAAACCCTGTCTTGAAAAACAAACAACAACAACAACAACAACAAAAAACCCAAACAAAAGAAAGAAACTCAGCTTACCTGTGAGTACATAAACAGAATAGAAAGATAAAGAATGGTTTTCAAGCAAATGGGATCCAAAAGCAAGCAGGAGTAGATTAAGTATAAACAAATTTAAAGACAAAATATGTTACACAAAGGATGTTACTATGTATTGGCAATTGAACAGTTTGTCAGAATATAATGATGAATTTATATGCACCAAGTTGGAACAGCTAGTTGTAGCTGGAGAGTTTTCTCTCCGGGTCCTGCCAAGCCCCAGCCGTCCGACAGCCCACTTAATAAACACACAGATGCTTATATTATTTAAACTGTTTGGCCTAATGGCTCAGGCTTCTAGCTATCTAGTTCTTACATCTTAAATTAATCCATTTCTATAAATCTATACCTTGCCACATGGCTCGTGGCTTACCGGCATCTTCACATGCTGCTTGTCATGGCGGCAGCTGGCAGTGTCTCCCTCCGCCTTCCTGTTCTCTCAATTCTCCTCTCTGTTAGTCCTGCCTATACTTCCTGCCTGGCTACTGGCCAATCGGTGTTTTATTTATTGACCAATCAGAGCAACACATTTGACATACAGACCATCCCACAGCAGCTAGTTTGATAAAGGCAAGCACTAATAGGAAAAAAAGGGAGATTTCGACCCCAGTGTAATAGTGGGAGGCTTCAATAACTTTGTAAAACTAGAAAAAAAAAAATCCTAAAGTTCTATCTGGGAGCATAAGAGACCCTATGTGGCAAGGAAACTTGAGCAAAACCAATATTGAAGGCATAAATCCAATTTCAAAACACACTACTGAGTCATTGTAACAGAAGCAGCCTAAGCAGACATGTAGACCAGGGAACACATTTGAACTCAGAAATCTCCCGTTGGCTGGTTATTAGTAGGGGTAATAGATATAGTGTATATTAAAGATAGCCAGAGAGGTGGCTCAGCACCACGTCGCTGCTCACAGCCGTGTGTTACTCAAGTTCTAGGGGACCAAACATAAGTTTATGGCCTCTGGACACTGCATACACATGATACACACACAGACAAGTAGGCACACACATACACAAATTAAAAATGAAGAACCCTTCTATAACTTCCTATGGAAAAACTGATTTTCACATGTAGAAGATTAAAACTAGACCTTCATCTCACCACACACAGACTCACACACTTACTTTTTTTTGTTTTTGTTTTTGTTTTTTTGGTTTTTCGAGACAGGGTTTCTCTGTGTAGCTTTGCGCCTTTCCTGGATCTCGCTCTGTAGACCAGGTCGGTCTACAGAGCTCTGCCTGCCTCTGCCTCCCGAGTGCTGGGATTAAAGGCGTGTGCCACCACCACCCAGCTTTGTTTTTTTTTTTTTTTTTTTTTTTTTTTTTTTTTTTTTTTTTTTTTTAAAGATTTATTTATTTATTATGTATACAGTATTCTGCCTGCATGTGACCCTGCAGGCCAGAAGAGGGCACCAGATTTCATTACAAGTGGTTGTGAGCCACCATGTGGTTGCTGGGAATTGAACTCAGGACCTCTGGAAGAGCAGTTGGTGCTCTTAACCGCTGAGCCATCTCTCCAGCCCTTTGTTTTGTTTTTTAAGACAGGGTTTCTCATTGTAGCTCTGGGGATCCTGGAACTCGCTCTGTAGACCAGGCTGGCCACAAACTCAGAAAGCCACCTGCCTCCCAAATGCTGGGATTAAAAGTATTAAAAAGCCAGGTGGTAGTGTCACAGGCCTTTAATCCCAGCACTTGGGAGGCTGGGAGTTCAAGACCAGCCTAGTCTACAGAGCTAGTTCCAGGACAGCCAGGGCTGTTACACAGAGAAACCCTGTCTTGAGAGGAGAAGAAAAAGAGATGGATTAAGACCACCGCCCGGCCTTTTTTTTTTTTTTTTTTTTTTTTTTTTTTTTTTTTTTTTTTTTTTTTTGAGAAAGGATCTCATTGTATAGATTTGAGGTTGGCCTCAAAATCAAAGATCTGCCTTCCTCAGTCTCCTGAGTGCTAGGATTAGTTAGTGTAAAACCTTAAATATATTGAAGACTACTGGAGCAATGATACGGAATGATATGGGAAGCTGTGGGGGCTGGAGAAGGGTTCCGTGGTTGAGAGCACTGGCTGCTCTTACACATCATGTGGGTTCAGTTCCCAGCACATCCTCTGTAACTTAGTTCTGAGGCTCTGACACCCTCTTCTGACCTCCAAGGGCACCAGGTGCACACATGGTGTACATACCTGCATGCAGCAAAGCACTCATACACATAATACACATAAAATTAAATAAATAAATATATTTTTTGTTGTTTTTGAGCAGGGTTTCTCTGTGTAGCCTTGGCTGTCCTGGAACTTGCACTGTAGACCAGGCTCACTTCTGAATTCACAGAGATTCACCTACCTCTGCCTCCTGAGTGTTGGGACTAAAGGCATGCGCCACCACCACCCAGCTAATAAAGACATTTTTTAAAATTTAAGTAAACATCAGTGAAATAGCGCAAGAAGTTATTTCCTGGATGACTTCTGAAGTGGGCTGGAGAAATGGCTCAGTGGTTAAGAGCGCCTACTCATGTAGAACACCTGAGTTTGGTTCCCAGCACACACATCAGGCAGCTCACAACCACCTCTTATCAGCTGCAGGCAATCCCACTCTGTATTCTGGCCTCCAAGTTCACCCACACACAGCATGCTCGAGTACAGACACACAAATAAATAAAACCTTTTTTCAAGAGGAAGGGGTGGCTGAGCAGTTAAGAGCTCTGGTTCAATTCCAGAGGCCCTGGTTCAATTCCACGTGTCCAGATGGCAGCTCACTTCAGCTCCAGGGGATCCAGTACAGGCATGCATGCACACAGTGAACATATATACACACAGACAGCTACATATACACATAAAGTCCGCTAATAAATCTAAGAAAATTAAAATCCCCAAGCAAAACTTGTAATTTCAGTGAACACAAAGACACGTCTGCTGAGGAACAGGACCCATTGTTTGTCTCGTCCCTTCTGTGGGATAAAAGAGATTGCTGTAGACCTTTGCCAGCAGGCTAAAATTAGAATTTCTTTCTAAGAAAAGGCACTGGGAAGGCTCCTCCTTGGATGCTAAGGACCAGGCGGGAAGCCAGGGTAATGCCAAACCTCCTTAGTGGCTGTAAAGTCGTAAGGAAAAGAAAGGCTGCCTGGCTTAGTGAAATGGACTCTGAGGAAGCTCAGACGGAAGCTTCCCTACTTGAGAGTCGAGTGGTACTCCCTCTGCCTGTGTGCTTGGGTAGGGAAGCTAACTGTTCACCAACCTAATGCTGCAGTAATAAATATGAAAATACCCAAAAAACTGCACATCTAAACAAAAGGACCAGTGTACTCAGACACAGGTATATTGGAAGATGGTATAAAATATTCTTATTAATTTTGACATTAGTCATTTAATATCTGGTTTTGGACACGTGTGCCATGGTATACTCCTGAAGGTCAGAGGACAGCCCCAGGAGTCAGTTCTCTCCTACCACGTGGGTTCTGAGTATCAATCTCAGGCCCTTTCCATTGAATAGCGTTTTCTTTTATCTTTTATCTTTTTCTTTCTTTTTTTTTTTTTTTTTTTTGGTTTTTCGAGACAGGGTTTCTCTGTGTAGCTTTGGAGTCTGTCCTGGAACTCACTTTGTAGACTAGCTGGCCTCGTACTCAGAGATCCACCTTCCCCTGCCTCCTGAGTGCTGGGACTAAAGGCATGCACCACTTCTTTTGGGCTGGGATTTAGTTTTTAATTATGTATATATGCGAGTTTGTGTTTCTGCACATGAGTACAGTTCCCACAGTTGCCAGAAGCGGGTGTTGGATCCTCTGGAGCTTGTGGGAGCCCATTTTCAGGTTCCTAGTGGCTTTACCCAGCAGGCCTGCATAGAGAGGATGATTGGACCACGATCCTGAGTGCAGGTGTCTGAGGTGGTCTGCACTTGCTGGGGGGAGGTCCTTTGCTCCACCCCTTGGCGTCTCTATAAATACCCTGGGGCAGAGACAGTCGGGGTAGTTGGAATAGGTTCCAGGCCCTCTCGAGGCTATCCTTTATTTTCTATCTGTTTATCTCCACAATCTAAATCCTTCTATCTAATATTTCCTGCTGCTCTCAAGAAAACTCTGGGGAACTGTGGGGTTGGTGGGTAGCGTCCCGCAGGAGCTGGAGTTAGCTGGTTGTGAGATGCCTGACATGGGTGCTGGTCAGAAGAACAGGAAGTATTCTTAACCACTGAGGCATCTCTCCATCCCTATTTTCAACAATTTTAATAAAGCTTTGTTACCTTTGATTTCTAAAATTGATGAGATTTTTTTCTTAGCATATTTTTGTTTGTTTGTTTTTGACACAGGGTTTCTCTGTATAGCCCTGGCTATCCTGGGACTCACTCTGCAAATCAGGCTGGCCTCAAAGTCAGAGATCTGCCTGCTTCTGCCTCTGCCTCCCGAGTACTGGGACCAAAGACATGTGCTACCACCACCTAGCTATTCTTAGCATAATTTAAAAAGTTACAAATATAGACACCTTGGGTGTCCCCCTTTCTTATGGGTACAAACAGTAGTCAGATCCCTTAGTACTGCCTTTTCATTGCCTGTGTAAGTTTTAGTATAAAGAACATAAACTTACTCGTTCATTATCTCCCTTCAGTGTTAGATGTAAAGCAAACAACTGTCTATCTGTAATAGGCGTATTTTAAATTGTGTGTTACAAACCTAAAGTGTTTAAGTTCAGAGCTGTTTATAACTGTAATACAAAGAACGCCCAGATTGGGTGCTCATCATCTAATTATTGAGTTACGTGAGTTTAACATCCATCTCCCTTCCTCCCTCCCATAGTTGAGTGTATTGGATATTTGTAATTCTGTTGCATTTTGGGAGGTGCAAAATTTTTCTGTTCTTTTTGGAAATGTTTAGAAACTTTTCGTGTGTGTTTTTTTAGAAACAATTTTTTTAAACTTTATTTATTCGTATTTTATGTACATTCGTGTTTTCCCTGCATGTATGTACACATGAGAGTGTCTGACCCCCTAGAACAGGAGTTACAGACAGTTGTAAGTTGCCATGTGGGTGCTGGGAATTGAACCCGAGTCCTCTGGAAGAGCAGCCAATGCTCCTAACTGCTGAGCCACCTCTTCAGCCCCTAGAAACAATTTTTTACTGGTGACTGGAGATGGCTCAGTGAGTTAGGCAAGCACAGGGACCTGTGTTCAGATCCCAGGTACACACATAATAATCATGTGTCCTGGCGCATACCCATGGCCCACACCTGTGCTGTGGGGACAGAGTGGCCGACCCCGAGGCATCACTGTGGGCTAACCTAGTGGAGAAAGAGTTCCAGCTTTAGTAAGAGGCTTGTCTCAATGGATTGGAGAACAATAGAGAAAGACACCAGTGTCACCCTCTGTCCCCGGCTGTGCAGGCATTGGCAAGCAAACACAGCACCCGCATACACATACCGATCCTCACAGGGAGCTGTGACAGCAGCAGAGACTCTGCCCTTGCCCCCTTTCCTAGAGCAGTCCTTTAGGCTTCACTTAGTAAATCCTTTTCTTTCTTTCTTTCTTTTTTTTTTTTTTTGTTTTGAGACAGGGTTTCACTGTGTGGCCCTTGTTGATTGCTTTGGTTCTTTTTTTTGGGGCGGGGGACACTACCTAGCTCCCAAATAAATCACACACAGAGGCTTATTTTATTTATTTATTTATTTAGATTTTTTGAGCAGGGTTTCTCTGTGTAGTTTTGCTCTGCCTCCCGAGTGCTGGATTAAAGTCGTACACCACCGCCACTATAAATGCCTGGCCTTAACTTGGCTTGTTTCTAGCCAGCTTTCCTTAAATTATCCCATCATCCTTTTGCCCCTGGGCATTTACTCTTCTCTTTCTTCTGTAAATCTTACTCCGTGGCTGGCCCCTAGCGTCCTCCTCTCTCTCTCTCACTCCATCTCTCCTCCCAGATTTCTCCTTCTGTTTATTCTCTCTGCTTGCCAGCCCCGCCTACCCTTTCTCCTGCCTCACTATTGTCCGTTCAGCTCTTTATTAGACCATCGGGTGTTTTAGACAGGCACAGCAACACAGCTTCACACAGTTAAACAAATAAATGCAACATAAACAAAAGTACTACACCTTAGAATAATATTCCCCAACAGGCCCCGGCAGGCCTGGAACTTGCTGTGTATGTAGAACAGGCTGGCCCCAGTGCTGGGCATAAAGGTGTAAGCCACCTGGCATGTGAATTGTTTTCTAAAAAGAGGTAGATGGGAATAGATATACAGTAAATCCCTTTCAACTGAAATATGTCTTCATTGTATCACATATAGTTTTATTTACCGCATAATGAAAAGAGGTCATCACCAAACCACAGTCTGATCATAAGTCAGCCTTGTAAGTTGTGGAGTGTTCTTTAGAAAAAGAAGGCAGAACCTTTAAACTTTTTAGAAATTGATTTGCCTCTTTACTGTGTGGTGCTAGGAATTCCATGCAGGGCTTCCTGCACGCTGAGCTAGCTCCAGCACCGAGTTCTGCCCCTCTCCCTGCTGCCCCAGACCCCTGTTGGTGGCTCCTCCGCAGCTAACTCTGGTTTCTTCTGCAGCTTCGGCAGTCCCAGTCCTACTGCACCGACACAGAGTGCCTCCGGGAGTGTAAGTACCGGCGGGAACAGGAGGGTGAGGCTGGGCGCGGGGGGGACCTGGAACTCACTTTGTAGACTAGGCTGGCCTGGAACTCAAAGATCCGCCTGCCTCCTGAGTGCTGGGATTAAAGGCGTACCCCACCATTACCCGGCATATTATTTTTACTTTTTAAAAACAGTTTCAAGGGGGAGAGATGGCTTGGAGCTTAAGAGCACTGGTCCTGAGTTCAATTCTCAGCAGTCACGTGGTGACTTACAACCATCTATAATGAGATCTGGTGCCCTCTTCTGGCATGCAGGCATACATGCAGACAGAACACTGTATACAGAATAAATAAAAAAATAAGTCTTTAAAGCAGGGAAAAAAAAAACCAGTTTCACATAGCCCAGACTGTCTTTGAACAACATCTGATTGTATGGCCTCCATCTTCTTTTTATTTATTTATTTTTATTTAAAAAAATTTTTTATTACGATATTTTCTATTCATTTTACATATGAACCACAGATACCCCTGTCCTTTCTCCTCCCGCCCCCCCAGCCTTCCCTCCCAACCCCCCCCATTCCCACCTCCTCCAAGGCAAAGTCTCCCCTGGGGAGTCAGCAGAGCCTGATATATTCAGTTGGGGCAGGTCCAAGCCCCTCCTCCCTGCACCAAGGCTGTGCAAAGTGTCTCACCATAGGCACTGGGCTCCAAAAAGCCAGCTCATGCACCAGGGACGGTCCGAGGCCTCCACCTTGTAAAGTGCTAGGATTATAGGTATGGACTATCTTGCCTGACTTTTAGTTTATTTTATGGTAAGTGGCTCTCAGTTATATATTTGATGCCTAATATACTCAAAATTGCTTTGGCTGCTTCAAGTGGGGGTCCAGGCTCCTCAAGGAAGAGTCACTCACGCTCTTCTGTCTCTATTGGTAGTGCATGCCTGAAATTCCACATGGAAGGCTACGGCAAGCAAACGGTGAATTCTAGGCTGCCCTGTGGTCCATGGCAAGGCCCTATGTGAAAAAACAATGTAACTCTTCCTTTGTAGCTTCTTCTGCTAAAAACCTAAATTTGTGGAAGACAATAGGACTAAAGGAGGTTCCAGGCTTCCAAGGGTGGGAAAGTGTGGGAGGTAAAGCATGGGAGGGAATTTGTAAAGGAAGTTCGCAGACTCTACTGTAGGTCTCCGGCTTTAGTGAAGACTTTATAGTTCATCATTAGCCAGTGAATATGGTCGGGTTTTTAAGTTATAAGTTTTGACTCGTTTGCACCGTTGCTAAAGGCACCCAGTGGTTTTTCTCTTTGATAGCTCTCTGCCACTTTGTATTATTTCTTTTATCAAAACCTAACTTTTGGCATTTTTATTTATTGTTGTTTTTTTTTTTTCAGACAGGTCTCACTGTATAGGTTTGGCTGGCCTGGAGCCTGTTATATAAACATAAACCAGGCTGGCCTTTAACTCATAGAGATCTGCCCGCCTCTGCCTCTGCCTCTGCCTCTGCCTCTGCCTGTGCCTCCCAAGTGCTAGGATTAAAGGTGTGCATCAGTATACACAGCCGTATTTATTTCTTTGTGGTGTGTGTTCCTGTGTGCAGGAGTACCTGTGTGCTGGTGTACATTCCATGTGTGTGCACATGTACGTGGAGGCCAGATGTCCTTCTTCATGAGCCTTCCACCTTGTTTTTGATACAGAGTCTCTCAATGGGATCTAGGGCGCACCCATTAGGTTAGACTGCCTGGCTGGCCAGTGAGCCCCAGGGCAGGATTCCTCTATCTCCTTTTTCTGGCACTATGATTACAAGTGCACCACCATGCCCACCCTTTTCACATGGGTTCTGATGATTGAACTCAGGGCCCCATGCTTGCATGGCACACACTTAATTGGTAGAGCTATCTACCCAGCACAACCCTTGACATAACTTCCTGTCTTCTCCTGTTTCCACATGAAGCTGCTCTTTTCCACTCTGAACCTGTAATTGTTCAGTCTTATAGTTCTGACTTTCCAATTCTTGTCTTCCTTATCCGCTCTGGCCTCCTTAGCTCATTCCCTGGAGCTGTTCCCTTGCCACACCCTTGATGATGTTCTCCAGGCGTGTGTATGACTCATGTGTGTGCTGGTGACCGTCTTCCGGACATGTCCACTGTGATGTTCACCGGCTTCTCAGACCATCTTCAGAGTGGAGCTCCTAGTGGTATCTGCCACAGCTGCTTTTCCTGCTGTCTGTCCCATAAGTTGTGGTAGCTCTGTCCTGAAAGTTACCCTTGACTCTTCCTGGCTCTCAGGGGTCTAGCCATTATCACACCTTCAGGATGTAACCAGAACTGTACTCAATACCACCCCATTCTGCCTCCTCCCTCTTCCATAAGGTTATTATAATAGGTTCCTTTTGTTTGTTTGTTTAAGACAGGTTCTTACCATGTAGCCTTGGCTGGTCTGGAACTCGATATGTAGAACAGGCTGGGCTAGAATTCAGAGATCTGTCTGCCTCAGCCTCCCAAGTGTTGGGATCAAAGGCTTGGGTTGCCATGCTCAGTCTTATAATATGTTCTCAACTATCTCCCTGTTTCTCTGTACAACAGAGTGGCCTGTCCAAATAAGATTTATTCATAAATATATTTTATAAAGATTTATTCATATACACAGTGTTCTGCCTGTGCCTGTGTGTATGCCTGCACCCTGGAAGAGGACACCAGATCTCACTAAAGATGGTTGTGAGCCACCGTGTGGTTGCTGGGAATTGAACTCAGAACCTCTGAGCCATCTCTCCAGTACCCTCACCTAAAACTTTTTTTTTCCTTTGGTTTTTTGAAACATGGTTTCTCTGTGTAGCTTTGGAGCCTTTCCTGGAACTCACTCTGTAGCCCAGGCTGGCCTCAAACTGACAGAGATCCCCCTGCCTCTGCCTCCTGAGTGCTGGGATTAAAGGCGTGCGCCACCACTGCTGGGCCTGTTGTTTTTTAAAACCCTTTTAAGTTTTGTCCTTTGTCTAGTGACTGTGTTTGTTCCATGTCTGTTAAGTCTGTATCTAGTGACTATGTTTTACTTAGGCATTTTTGGGGGGCGGGGATTAAGGGAGGGCACCACAGCCGCCCGACCCTGCTTAGGCATCTTATGTCAACCTCCATTCTGAGTTCCTTGAGGGCAGAGACTTGGAGGCAGATCCCTTCTATCTTCTAGATTCCCAGCCTGAGGGCAGGACCTCCCTCTCTCCGTTTCTGTTGGCATCTTGGTCCTCCAGCCCCTGCATTTTGTAGTTAACTTTTAGCATAGTTTTCTCATTACAGAAGACAGGCATCTGCAGAACATTTCTAGGCTTTTCAGAAAACCACCTTTAGAGACAGTTCGGAGGTTTGTCTGAACATGAAAAACATTGTTAGGGCTTTGTAGAATCTTTTTTTGTTGTTGTTGTTTTTTGTTTTTGTTTTTCGAGACAGGGTTTCTATGTAACAGCTCTGGCTCTCCTGGAACTCACAGAGATCCCCCCCTGCCTCTGCCTTCTGAGTGCTGGAATTAAAAGGGGGCCACCACCGCCTGGCATAGAATCTTTCTAAAGGACTATTTCTTTCTTAGGGTGTTTTGGATCAAACCCGAGTCCTTATGCATGCTAGGCAAGCACTCCACCACTGAACCTCACCTTAGCCCATACGGGGTCTCACTGTGGGCGGAGGCTGGCCTTGAACCTTAGGACCCTCGGCCTCACCCGCTGTGCCTGACCGCCTCAGATCCTCTTCAGTCTGTGTATCTGATGACTCAGCACCGCCCCTTCCACTCCACCCGCTGCTTCTGCTGTAAATGTGGCCATTCACCTGCTGTTCTACCTCTGGTCCGTAGGGTCTTACTGTGTCTCACATGCCAGGGTTACTGCCTAGAATGGCACCAGGATTACTTTTCAAAGTTCAGCAGACCAGGAGTAGTGGCGCAGGCCTGCAATCCTAGCATCTTGGAGACAGAGACAAGAGAATCAGGAGTTCAAAGCAGCCGTGGCTACATAGCGTATTTGAGGCCAGCCTGGGTACATGAGATCTCAAACTAAACAAGACAAGGACCAGTAAGATGGCTCAGCAGTTAGAGCTGCCTACCTCCAAGCTTGGTGATCTGAGTTCAGTTCCCTGGGACTCCGCCCCCCCCCACCCCCCCACCCCACACACTGTGGAAGAAGAGAACTAATGTCCTCAAGTTGTCCTCAGACTTCAACATCTGTGCTGTGGCACATGTGCTTACACACATGCATGCACAAAATAAGTAAAATAATGTAATTTCTAAATCAGAGAAATCAGACTGAATTATGACCTTCCCTGTGTTAAAAGCTTCGGTGTAGGACTGAAGAGATGTCCTTGGCAGAGGACCCGAGTCCAGTTTCCAGTTTCTGTGTTAGGCAGCTCACAGCACCTTCAGTCCAGCTCCAGGGCATCTAACGCTCTCTTCTGGCACCCACACAGATGTACGTGCACACACACGCGCATGCACACACACATACACACACACACACACACACACACACACACACACACACACACACACAACTTTAAAACATTTTTAAAGCATTACTTGTCACATACCTCTCCATGACCTCCGCAGGCAGTTCTATCTTCTTAATTTTTTTTTTCTTTTTGAGCAAAGTTTCTCTGTGTAGCCTTGGTTATCCTGGAACTTGCTTGTGCTGTAGACCAAGCTGGCCTCTGTCTCCCAAGTGCTGGGATTAAAGGCGTGCGTCACCACCATGTCCAGCATTATATTCTTACATTTAAAAAGACAAAAAATTGAGGGTGGTGATGGCGCATGCCTTTAATCCCAGCACTTAGGGGGCAGAAGCAGGCAGATCTGTGAGAGTTCAAAGCCAGCCTTGTATACAGAGTGAGTTCTAGGACTGCCAGGGAGACCCAAGGGCACTCACACAGCAGACTCACCTCCAGCAGTCCACAAATGCACCTATGGTCCTGACATTAGAGGAAATGAACTTGGAAGCTGATAGCTGACTCCCACAAATTACCTTCTTACCTCCCCAGAAGGTCCCAAGGCATATGTCCCTTGTACTTCCCAACAAATAAATATTGGTCTGGGGATATAGTTCAGTTGGTAGAGGGCTTGCCTTATTTACTGGAAGCCATGGATTTGATCACCAGCACTCACCAAAAAGAAAAAGAAAGAAAAAAAAGTGTGGGGGTGATCTATCAAGCCTTGAAAGTCAGGAACATTGCATCTATTTAGACTTTCAAGTAGAGGGATTTGCTGCCTACTCCTGCCCAGCCCTTGTTCTTCCTCCCCCAGCCCCCACCCCTCACCCCCCACCCCAATCCAGTTAGTCACTAAGGGCTGTGTTTCTTTGTCCTGCCGACATTTGTATTTGACTTTGATGCTTCATTGGCTTATCCTGCTCCAGGATTATGTCTCCCAGAAGCTACATTTTACTGAATTCCGATTGACCCTATTGCTATTTTCTGTGGCCTGCCCATTTCAGTGCTCACTGCTATCCTGTGAGCTGATGGCGATGTTTACCTTCCACAAATAAAGAAACCAAGGCACCAGGATCAAATAGATGAAAGGTAGCAGTCACATAGCTACGAGATGGTTTATTAAAAAGTTAATGACCTGGGCAATGGCTGGAGCCGAGTGGTTGCTCGGCATGCATGTCCAAGGCCCTAGGTTTGATCCCCAGCCTGGGAAGGCAGCAGCAACAATTTGATCCACCTAATTAGGAAAGCTGGGAAGCCATTCCTTCAGTTGAGAAATGCAGTGATAGTTTGGAGAAGGCCAGCAGGGGCAGCAGGACAGTAGCAGAGGGAATGGGATTGTTATAGGGAGGGGGAGGGGAGAGTGAATGGGAGGTTGGTTTGAGTATGAGCTGGACAGGGTGGAGGGTATGGGGTGCTGTGGAAGGACTCAGTTTGCATGGTTCCTGCCAGAGAAGGGTTGAATTATTACTATTACATCAGAGTCATTTGGGGAGGTTTAAAAAATATTAGACCACACCCGTCTGCTGCTCTTGAATCAGATGGTCTGACGCAGGGCCTCGGAATCTGTGATGTGGGTCACAGGCGAGGGAAACATTGGCTCAAGAATCTGGAGTAACTAGAAAAGCTGATGTTGGAAGATGTGGGGATGACATAAGTAGAACCAAATCACACCAGCAAAGGTCAGGCCAGTGTGCTCAGGATCGGCAGTGGCTGCTCCCTGGGCTGGGCAGCAGAGAGAGAGGCTCGTGTTACTAGTGTTTTTAGGATGACACTCAAGTCTTGGGAGTTAGGAAAAGGAAAATCAGGAATATACCCTGGAGACCTGATGATAACGGATGATGGATAGACCCTCTGTAAGAAGAAACAGGACCCAACAAAGTTCAAGTAAGAGGTCTCAGCTGATAAAGGCACTTACCACCAAGGCTTATGTCCTAAGTTCAATCCCCGGGACTCACATGGTGGAAAGAAAGAACTAGATGCTGAAAGTTACCCTCTGACCTTCACATGCCTGCCCCCTACACAAATCAAAAGGATTAACTTTTGCTTTTTGAGACAGGATTTCTCTTTGTATCCCTGGAATTCATTCTGTAGACCAGGCTGGCCTTGAATTCACAGAGATCCGCCTGCCTCTGCCTCCCAAGTGCTGGGATTAAAGGCGTGCGCCACCCCACCCCCCACGGCTAACGTAATAAAAATTTAAAACTTAACAGAAGGGAACAAGAGAAGAATGATCTGGGGGGCTGGGTGTGGTATGCTGTTTGTCTAGCATGGGCCAGGTCCTGGGTTCGATACCCAGCATCCAGAACTCAGGAAGAGAGGAACACTGCTGATAAGGCATGCAGGCTGGTTTTCTTTGGTGTTTAAACGGTAGAATCTGTTTTGCGTTTGTCTCACAATGTTAACGTCGGGGCAGTTTTGCTACAGATGCTCGTCTTGTTTGTCTCTAGTGCCGGGACCCTCCAGTGACAACGGCGTCAGCATCACTGTGATCCTGATGGCCTGGATGGTGATTGCAGTGCTCCTGTTCTTACTGAGACCTCCTAATCTGAGAGGCTCCAGCCTCCCCGGAAAGCCCTCCAGCCCTCACAGCGTAAGAATTACTAATCCTTTCTGGGTAGTGCGGGGGCGGTTATTTTGACTGAAATATCTAAATTATCCGGAGGAAAACTTAATTCTTTTTTTTTTTTTTTTTTTTTGGTTTTTCGAGACAGAGTTTCTCAGTGTAGTTTTGGCACCTGTCCTGGATCTCATTCTGTAGCCCAGGCTGACCTCGAACTCACAGAGATCCACCTGCCTCTGCCTCCGGAGTGCTGGAATTAAAAGCAAAGGCGTGCGCCGCAGCAGCAGCAGCAGCAGCAGCAGCAGCCGCCGCCGCGCCCGCCGCCGCCGCCGCCGCCGCCACCACCCAGCAGACTTAATTCTCAGACTGAATTCTTTCAGTGTAGTCATAATAAAATTTTCAGTGCCCAGTTGTCTTTTGTAGAGATAAACGTTAAAAAAAAAATAGAGCTAGGTATGGCTCAGACCTGTAACCCCTGCATTGGGGGAGTGGCTCAGGAGGGTTACCACACATTCAAGGTTAGCCTGGCCTACCTAGTGAGTTCTAGGCCACCTTGTACTACAAAGTGAGATCTATTTGGGAGAGGTGCTGGGTATCTATAAAACGACTCGGCGTCTAGAAAAACGTTTTCAGGCTAGGGATGTGGCTCGGTTGGTAGACTGCTTGCCTAGCATGCACGAAGCCCTGCATTGGCTCCTCAGCGCCTCATAAACAAGGTGTGGAGGCACACACCTGGAGTCCCAGCACTGGGAGGTGGAGGAGGTAGGAAGATCAGAAGTTCAAGGTCATCCTTTGCTGCGTAGCAAGTTAGAGCCTAGCTTGGCCTATAGGAGACCCCTTCTCAAGAAAACAAAAATCAAACAAAAGAACTTTTTTTTTTCATGATGAAACCACATGTTGGAACACCAAATTACTCTATTAATTTAATATTCAGCCTTCACAAGTGCAGTTCCTAATGGCTGCTTTTTGGCAGCCTTATGTAATTAACGTTAGAATTTACCAGAGGAGAGCAAGTGTGCAGTGAGACTGGGCTGCACGCGGAGCCTTTGGTAGAACAGCAGACACGTGCTGGGTGGAGTCATCTGAGAATGGCTTCTTTGGCCCAAGGGGTCTCATCTGCAGGCCGTGATGGTATGCCCTGTAATCCCAACACCTGAGAGGCAGTGAGAGTTCAAGGTCAGCCTAGTCTACACAGTCCCACCCTGTCTGATTTAGGAAGGAAGGAAAGTAGAAGAGAAAGCTTTAATGTACTTCAGGGTTTTCTGGAAAGGGGAACGGGCATTAAAAGCTTGCATATTTTGTGAACGATTTCTTCCTTAGCCTTTTTTCTTACATTGTATGTACCCCTTTACTATTTTTGTGTCAGAGAGCAATTTCTCGAATGTTTAGAGATAAAGAAATCCAAGTGCACCTGACTTAGAAGTCATTACAAGTGAAACACCCCCTGGACCTTATTGGTCCTAGGAACAGTAGTCTCTGTGTCCTAAGCAAGGAACAGAAAAAACACGCTGCAGTAGAAATGCTGCTCACTCTCACAGAGCATGCCAAGGTAAGTAAATGAAGCCTTCCCAACAGTCCCGAAAGCCTCCCCCCTCTTATTTTTGAGATTAAGTCTTACTGTATGGCCCAGATAGCCTTGAACTCATTTTGTAGCTCAAGCTGGCCTCAGACTCAGGATCCTCCTGCCTCAGCTCGTATAGCTTGGCATAGCTTTAACCTCCTTTTAACTCATATGCTTTCTATTGCAAGTAACAAAAACCAACGGGAAGGTGACTAAATAAGTGAATTTATTGGTTCACACACCAAAACTTGAGGTGGGTTCAGTGCTGAGAACGTTTAACAGCGAAGCAGAACGTGCGTGTACACAACTGTAATCCCAGCACATAGGCCACCTAACAGGTCCCCGTTGTCTTGATTAACAGTGCTATTGTACATCCAGTTTCTGGACTGAGGATGTAGCTTACCTGGTAGAGTGCTTGCTTGGTGTGCATGAAGCCAGCCTCCGAGATACATGAGATGGAGTGCTCCCCAGTGTGCATGGAGCTAATCTCCAAGATAACATGAGATGGAGTGCTCCCCAGTGTTCATGGAGCTAATCTCAGAGATACATTGAGATGGAGTGCTCCCCAGTGTGCATGGAGCTAATCTCTGAGATACATGAGATGGAGTGCTCCCCAGTGTGCATGGAGCTAATCTCAGAGATACCTGAGATGGAGTGCTCCCCAGTGTGCATGGAGCTAATCTCCGAGATACATTGAGATGGAGTGCTCCCCAGTGTGCATGGAGCTAATCTCTGAGATACATGAGACACAGTCTAAATACATACATACATGAATACATGCATAAATATACATGAGACCTATTCTAATACACACACATGCACACGCATAGATAGCCAGTCTCTTTCCTCTTGCTACAGCCCTCATTGTAAGGCGGGCTCCCCTTACAGTGGTAAGATGGTTGCCACAAGCACCCGAGCCACGTTCCGGGAGACACTCCACAGTGAGAAATACAAGTCTCTAGCTGCGAGTGGACTGCACTCAACAGGCACATTAGTGAGAGGATGGACACTCCCCAGAGGTGGCCGGGACAGTCACACCCCTGCTGCGGCTTCCCTTTATCCCACACCACATGCAAGAATGACTCACTGCCACACCACAGTACTTACCTTATGTTCCCTGTCTAGAAGCAGGAAGACTACAGGTGTCAATGTGGTGTGAAGGGGTTGGGGACAGAGGTGCTTTTCACTTAGTAGATGTGTTAAAAGTCACTGAACCCATTCTTTGTTAATGCCAGGGTCAGGACCCACCCGCTCCTCCTGTGGACTAACGTGGATGTGGGAAGCAGAGTGTTAAAGGCTGTGACGACGACCAAATGACTGAAGATGACCAGAGTACTCTTAACTGTTTTTCCTTTTCCATCTGCAATTCGGGATGGTATTATTTTCATGAGCTTCTAGAAATTTCACTTGCAAACTGACTTTTGCTTCCTGTGTTGCCACAGTTCTTATTTACAGTATACCTGAGTAAATGATTCTATTGGAAAGTTCACAGGACTTCGTTGGTTGGCCTAAGCTTAAACATTCCACTTGTTGTCCCTGGAACCGTGATCATAATGTCTGTGGTGGTTTCTGGCCCAATTGAAGGAAAGTTGAGATTTCTGCATTTACGTGTTTTAAGTGATTTTAATAGATTTTCATTTTTTTCTTAAGGTATTTATTTGGGGTTATCTGGTATGAATGACCGAACCACACTGTATTTACTTTACCTTGGCAGTTTTCTGTAGTTCCTGGGGCCGTGAAGCTTTTAGAATAGTTTCCTTACACCCTCCAGCTGAGATCTGTGGTACAGCTGACTTATGTGGCTAGAGTAGGAAAAGTGAGCTGGTTGTTTACTGATTCTTTTTTTAATTCCCAGTAAAAGTTTCTGATGTTAAGAATACTTTAAATAAACATGATTGATTACTCTAACGGTTGGTTTAGAATCCGTTGTGTGTCCTTGACAGCCACTGTCTGCTAGCCTTCCACGCTCATGAAAGGAAGAGCTGAGTCTCTGCCTCTGTCGGTATACTCCAGCCCGTGCTAACATGGGCTAGATGTATTGGCCTGTTTTTTTAAGTGAATGCCTCTCAGCAAGCTTCTCTTCCATTCCAACACTTGCCTGTTAAAATGAAATCATCTTACATCTGTGTGAGGCTTGACATTCTAATGCCTATTTACTTATTTTCACACTTTTTTTATTTGAAAAAAATTTTTGAGTCTATTGTTGCCCTTCTGACTTAGGAAGAAAAAAAAGCCTTTAATATGAGGTCTTAGTTTATTCCCAGGGAAAGGAGGGAAATGGCAAACAATATTTTTCTCACCTCTCGGCTCGAGTCTGTTTAGTAATGGGATGTGGATGTATTGGAGTGGGAAGGAGCATCAGAAATTGAGATTTCAAAATGTACTTAAAAACTAAGAGGTTGCATTGTTCTCGGTTCAAAAAGCAGTGAATACAAATGGCATTTAAACATACATGGATGGCCTGGAATTTTTTTCTAGGAAGTAGCTGCAGATGATTTGTTGGGGCCAAAATGTATTTTGCTATCAATGTAAAGATTTCCTTCCCAGGTCAGTCTAGGCTGTCACTGTACAAATCTGAGAAACTGTTTGTGTGAACTAAATAAACTTGTCCATCATTGGGCCATTGACAGGCCTCTGGCCTGGCTCTGTGACACTGGTTATTTCCCCCGTGTGGTGGTTACACTCTGGTCCATTGCATTGTTAAGGGCATCACTTCGTCCTGTGCTGATCCTGACTGATGACATCCCTCCTGGCTCCCTTGGCTTTGTGCTCAACCCTTGAAGTAATATAACCACCTTTTAGGTACTTATCCTTATAAAAGGGTGACTTAACCCAGGTAAGTTAAATCCTGAACTAATGAACACCACAGGGTGAGTGAAGGGTTTCTCTCTTGCTGTGGGTAACCGGAAGTCTTCCCCCTTCATAGCCGGTAACCAGTTTAACACAAAGTCAGCAGTCCTGAGGCCAGACCATAGACTATGTAGTGAATTTCAGGTCAGATTGGGCTGCGTAGGAACATCGTGCCTCATAAGGAAAAATGGGGTGAGGGACTTAAAGCTGAACAACACTGGAATGGCATCAAATGGAGGCACGTCTCTGTAGCATTTCTTTTCCTGTCTCTCCCTTTAACTCTGAAGACCTGCACACATGCTCCAACAGTCTGTTCTAACCTGTTGAAGCGAGACCCAATGGAGAGTTGATGTGTTCACTTAGTCGGCCTCACAGGTAGTGTAGACTTCACCTTGGTTAAAAAAGAAATGGACAAAATGTGGCCATCTAGTGTTAGAGACCTGGAATGTGCACTCTTGTTTTTGATGTTCGTTCCAATCACATGCACTTGCTGTGTCTAAACAGCTCAGCCTTTTCCTTCATGAGCCTCTGTTAAGTTAGTACCACAGCCTCAGTTTGTTAGCCCCTCCAGGACATTACTTTCTAACCTAGAAAAGGCTTAGTTACATGTTCACCAGAAGGATGATCACAATTGTATAGAAAACTCCAATCCAGACTTTTCAATGCCTGTTAACAGTTGAGTGTCTTTGAGAAGTACTTGGTCCTGGGTTTTTATTTTCTATTCTTCGTTATTTTGTTTGCTTTGGAAAATTTTCTATACTCCTAAAATGGTGGTATCCTGCATAGAATATTATTATTAACCTCACTAATAATTTATATTATTCTCTTCTTGCAGCTTCTACATGCTTTAATTGAGCTTATTCTTATACCATTATTTGGCTTGCAAACACTCACTTGGTCTGAAAGCTCACATTTCCACCCCTCTTGGCCATTCATGCTGTCTAGAATTCATTTGAGAGTCTTTTCATACTATTTTACAGATATAGTAGTCTCATTTTTCCATTTTCCACATGGGATAGGTTAACATTGGGACTGTTTATTGTAAAAGATTTGATCATGTATCTGAACACGATTCCATGGTTAGTAAGTCATGTTTTACAATGTGCAGAAGTTCTCCGGAGTATCCATAGAATATCACTGTCCCATGGTTCCATTAGGTGTCTGTGATAGTGTTTATGAACTTACTAATATCTTAGATTTTTAAAGGAATTGTGGGAGTCTGTCACTCTAAGTGAAAGTTTGTCTCTCTCAGTGATTTTGTGCTCAAGTTTGACCAGCTCAGTTTAAAACACAAGACAGCAACTTGAAGAGGGAAAAAGGATTTTAAATTTTGTTGTTGCTATAGAAAATAGGGACAGTCTTACATTTCTCAGTGAAGAATCCTGAGTATTCGTTACATGTCCAATGGTTATTTGGTAAAAGCAAAAGTGGTCATGTGATGTACTAAATGTAATTTGCTGTTTCAAATGTTTAAATTATGCCAAACAAATCAGTCCGTGCCATCTAGCATTTATTGTTAATCTTTTACTGAGTACTTGGATTGGGGTAAAGGGCTTGTACTATGCACTTTTTATTAATGAATAAATAGAAAATGTTAGTAATGCTTTGTTTTCTGTTTGGCTTTTGTGGGAAAAGATACCTCTTCTACTTAGTAAAGTGTTAACATCCTGGGTTAACATTTCTAGGTTCAACTTTTCAACTCAAGATATTCCTAAGAAATAAGAAAAATATTTACATAATAGCTCAGGATGAAGGCCAGTTGTTAGAGCCTTCATGCATGAAGCTCTGGGTTTGATCGCCCACACTTCAGAAACCAGACATGGGGGCACACATCTGTAATCCCAGGTCTTGGGAGGGAGAGGCAGGGGAATCAGGAGTCTAAGGTCACCCTGGGCCATAGCAAGTTTGAAGCCAGCCTTGGATGCAGGAGACCTTGTCAGAAATTTAAAAAGTATGGGGTCAGTATTCAGAAGAAAAAGTTCTGAGAACATTTAAGAAGTTATATTCCATTTCTTAATATGCAGTAGTGGTTATCTGAGCAGACATTTGTACCCAGAGCAGGACCTGTAACTGAACTGAAATCACACAGAAATCAAAGTTTGCTTTTGCTCTGGCTGGAAGGAGTCCAGACACAGGGATCATGATAGCGTAAGGCATGGGGAAATAAATGCCTTTTCTTTCCAGAGTCACTGGGTCCTGTTTCATCTGGACAGAGGGAGCTGAACTGCTTAGTGGAACAATTATAGGAGCTTGGTGTTGGGCCAGTCCTGGGGGTTGGTTTCTTCTGACAGAGGGTAAGACACCAAGATTTGGCTGGGTGTCTAAGTCTAACTGCATCTCCTCAGAGAAGGTGACAGTGGCTTTCAGTTTATGCAAAAGGTCTTGTCTCAATCAGTTCTCTGTTGTTAAATGCCTTTAAAGCTACCCCCAGCAACTGGGACCTACTTATACTTTTACATTTTTCTAACTGAACTTTTTTTCTAATATCTGGGGCCAGCTGGGTGACAGGAAATCTATTTATGCGTTCCTTGAGACAGGGCTTCTCTGTGCAGCCCTGGCTGTCCCAGAACTCTCTTTGTAGACCAGGCTGGCCTAGAACTCACAGAGACTCTGCCTGCCTCTGCCTCCTAAGTGCTGGGGTTAAAGGCATGTGACATCATTGCCTTTTGTAGCTGTATTTAATCCTTTAAAAAGACCTAGCATGGAGAAATGCCCAAATTGCTCTACAATTCTGGTGCCAGTTTCTGTGCTTTATCTGTTTTTGAGACAGATCTTAGTATGTAGCCTATGCTAGCCTCAGACCCTCTATCCTACCTCAGCCTCTCTAGTGCTGAGGTTGTAAGTGCCACGCTCAGCTAAATATCTTAAATGTTACTGGAAATATCAAAACGTGATGGCATACACTAAAAGACCTAGCTACTGGGAATGCTGAGAAGAAGCTTGCTTGAGCAAGAACCCCATTTTTTTTTTTTTTTAAGATTTCTTTATCATGTATACAGTGTCCTGCCTACACGTATGCCTGTGTGCCAGAAGAGGGCACAAGATCTTATTATAGATGGTTGTGAACCACCATGTGGGTGCTGAGAATTGAACTCAGGAAGAGCAGCCAGTGCTCTTAACCTCAGAGCCATCTCTCCAGCCCACAAGAACCCCATTTAATAACAAAACAGTAGGCTGACGATGGAGCTTTGTGATAGAATATTTAGTTAGCAGCAAAAAGGCCATCCCAGTACCACCAAAAAACAAACAAAAAAACTGTTTTGTGGGACTGAGGAGATGGCTGGGCTGCTGAAGTGTTTTCCTTGTAAACATGGGGACCTGAGTTTGGATCAACACTCAGTTAAAAACTGGGCGTGGTGGTAAATACCTGCAGTCCTGGTACCAGGGAGACAGACTGGAGGGTCCTTGGGGCTTCCTGGCTAGCTGCACTGGCTGAGTCAGTGAGCTATAGAACCAGGGAGGTACTGCCAAGAACTAAAGCGTGATCAACATCTGGCCTCCACATGCATGCACATTTACAACTTGCATGTGTGCCTGTATATACACATGCATGTTCACACACATCAAAAACAAATTTAGTCAAGTATTTGACTTCTTGGAGACAATAGTTCAATCTATAGTTTCTCACGTATGGGGCTGGGAATGTAGTAGGACTCACCTTGAGAGGCTCCAGACCCTAGCACCTCTGAGGCTGTACATTTTTCACAACCCAGAGAGCACAGTAGCTAGATTCAGGACTTGTTCACCAAGTTCCCACTGGGAGAAATTCGCCCCCCAAGAAGAGACAGCACCACCTTAGGTCAGCGCCTGGTGTGTAGTGTCATAACTACTTCTGGGTTGCTCCTGGGTCCATCTTGTGCTGCAGAAGTTAATGTGCCAACATTTGTAAGATCCGCATGGTTTGACAGACCAGAAGAGAAGAAATTTTTAAGTAGATTTTATTATCTTTCAGCTAAATTAAACACTTGCTCCTTCCATCTCCATGTGCTGAGTGCTGGAATTACAGGTGTGTTTAAGCACACCCAAGTATTACAGGTGTGTTTAAGCACACCCAAGTAGTACGTGGTAATACAATCCAAAGTGTAAAATATCTGTGAGCCCTACTAATGTAATTAAGTCATTGAATGAAAGAGAACAAAGTGCTAAAAAATGTTTTGTTCTAGAGCAGAGAAACCGAAGCTAAAATCATTCCTTTTCACCCATTAGTATTTATATTCATGGGCTGGGAAGTAGCTGATACCTAATTCCATGGCAGTAGAATTACTTTTAATACAGCAATTCGTGCATTGTTCCTGATGCCAAGAAGCAATGCATTTTGTATTGTGAAATTGCTGTTGTGAGAGGGATAAAGACAAATGACTTCATGAATGCCTCCCAGCTGGAGTCTGTCCCATTCGTATGAAAGGCCAGGAAGATAAAAACACGGTCAACTGCTCATGATTGTGCAGCCCCAGTACTCAGGAGGCTGAGGCAGAAAGACCACGTTTAAAGCTGGCTTGTGCCCCGAAGCAAGACACTGTCTCTAAGAAAACCAAACCCTATTTTAGTAACTGATAGTAAGGATGACATTTTGCAAAGAATAGGTTTAAAATGTTAGTAGTATGAATTTTCGTTTCTTCACATGACTAAAGTTTGTGGTGGTCAAGAAAAATTATTGTGGCCTGGGCAGTGATGGCGCACGCCTTTAATCCCAGCACTCAGGAGGCAGAGGCAGGCAGATCTCTGTGAGTTCGAGGCCAGCCTGGTCTACAGAGTGAGTTCCAGGACAGGCTCCAAAGCTACACAGAGAAACCCTGTCTCA